GTCACTGAAAGTGTGTTTAAAGTGTGTTAAGTTCCAAAACTGGCCAGTAGGCGGTGAAACTGAAAGTGAGCAAAAACGCTAAACACACTTAAACACACTTTTTCATAAAATTGTGATGTTTCAGGACTTCCGAGATTTTTGGTTTGGGAGCATGTTGGGAGCCTCTAGAACACTTTAGAAGGCTCAGAAAAATGAGGACCTCAAAAATGTCCTCATTTTTCTGAGCGTCCTCATTTTGTGAGTGTGTTATCATAAAATTGTCCTAAGATGTCACGAAAACAAGTACACACACGCAGACAGACGCACACACACACACACACACACACACCATTTCTTGGTATCAAGAGCAAGAGTGAGGAGAATCATGAAGAAATACAACGTCTACACAGAGATATTTAAACTGTGCAGAACAAGCCTGGCTGAGAGAAAGCAAAAGATTTCAAAGCCTCTGGAAAGAAAACTAGTGAGAGATGTGTCTAAAGACCCAAGAAGAACTGCAAAGACACTATGACGTAACCAAGCTGGGAATTATAGTCTGAAAGAAGCCAATCACTAGAACCCTGCACAGGAATACATACTCAAACAATGTACTTTGCACAGATGAGACTAAACTAGAGCTGCAACTGCCTGGTCAACATGGAAGGATTAAATATATATAGACCAAATGTGAAAGTTACTGATGAAACACCTGGCTGATTCATGCCCCCCAACACCTTCCCACAGATATTGATTTCACTACCACGTGACAGAACCTTGAAAATAGTATCACGAATTACACCCCCATTTGTTTTCATCGTGGCAATGGAGGCGATCATCAGAGGTTCAAACTGGGTGGTGACAAGCAGCTCAGGTCTGGAGTGTCCAGTTAACACTAATCAGGGCTTTATGGATGACATAACAACACTGACGACAACACCATCAAATATCACACAGACCAGGATGAAGATCATTTCTGGAAAATCAAGAAGCATCTCCATCACCAAAGGATAGCTATCTAACGAGTTAATACTGAACCAATACCAATGATATCAGAGAAACCTGTCTTGGGAGATTAAGATGCAAAACAGATCAATCAAATTAAGCAGGATGCTGTTTGGGAATCCACTCTGATACATAAGCTATACTGTGAAGATAGTTTTTCAAAATGCTACGTAAAGCATAAATATCCACATTGATATATGGGGCGATCGTGGCTCAAGAGTTGGGAGTTCGTCTTGTAATTGGAAGGTTGCTGGTTTGAGTCCCGGCTCGGACAGTCTCGGTCGTTGTGTCCTTGGGCAAGACCCTTCACCTGCCGCCTACTGGTGTTGGCCAGAGGGGCCGATGACACGACATGGCAGCCTGGCTTCTGTCAGTCTGCCCCAGGGCAGCTGTGGCTACACCTGTAGCTGCCTCCACCAGTGTGTGAATGTGAGAGTGACTGAATAGTGGAATTGTAAAGCACTTTGAGGGGTCCCGAAAAGCGCTATATAAATGCAATCCATTATTATTATTATTATTAATCTGAAGCAAGACTCCACTGATAGCTACAAATTCCACAGTTCTGGTGAATTGGACACCAACCAAACCTGTGAGTTTGAGGAGATTGTCCAGACTGAGCTTTGTTCCCGTTCCACAGTGGGACAGTGGGACAGACACTTGCATGACTATAGGTATATTGTATGTACAGTCAGTCACACAAAAACTGACTATACAAACATAATACAAATACAATTATTAGCTGCTGTTTGAATATAAAAACAACAGCTAGTAAGAGTATAATTGTACAAGTTCTCTACGCTGCAAGATCCTTATCTGTCACAGACGCATGTTTGTAGACACAGGTCTACAAAAGTACACCCTACAGGCCTACAGGCCTTGATACCAAAACCTCACTTACCAGTACTTGGCACAGAGCTCGTAGGAGGCAGCATGGTAGAGCAAGAGGGTGTTCGTGTAGTCATCCAAAGTCCAGACTGCTTCTTCTCCCCATAGACTAAAGCTGGTTTCCAAAGATATGACGGAAGATGGTGGGCTATAGGTCTCCAGCCTATAAACTGCCTGAAGACTCAGACAGTCTATAACTAGCAGGCCCGGGCCATTGGAGAACCATAACTGATAAACATAAATGTATAGACATGGTTCGGCTGATGAGTTCATGTGCAGCCATTACATGACTCAAACATAACTTCATTGTCATGGTTAGTACTGTCCGTTCACCTGGGATCCACTGCCAACGAGAGCCATGGTCCTGATGGGATAAGGTCTCTGCCTGGGATCTGAATCCTTCAGACCAAACACTGTCTTATTCAGGGTGTGGGAGCAGATGTATGTTTCTCCTTCTAGTGGAAGGTCCTCCACTACGTTATACACCGCCAACAGACCGTCCGACATCCCTGCAAACACTTTGTCCAGGCTCTTAATAGGAGGAGAAAAAATCTTTTTACATTTACATACTCGTTTCACTCTTCACTCTCTTTGTAAACCACCTTACCTCACTTACAAACCCCTCCACCTGGTGGAGAGGTTTGTTGTTGGGCGAAAAGCGAGGTGGTTATATAGTGTAGTGGTTCACACATGTGATTTAATGTATGAAAGGTCAGTTGTTTAAAACAGGATAAGAGACGAATCCTTAAGGGGGCTGTGTCAGAAAAGCACCAGGTTTAAAAAAATACGTAACTAACTCCAAACCCTGCAGGACTTGAGGGAGAATGCCTGACAACTCCACCTTAGACCATGGAGCCGGCTCAGCACAGCACAAGAACATAAGCCTGCTCACTGGTTGGTCTACCACCTGCATTAGGTGCTATAGGGGTTGGTGGCTTATGGATTGGGTGATGTAGAGACCAGGATGGTCCTCTCTATAGTCAGGCTCATGTCAACCCACAGTTTGGATTTTGAAACCAGTCTTATGGAGAAGGACTGGAGTCCAATCCAGAGTTACCTTCAGTGAGAGGCATTGTGGGCAGGGCAGACGTGCATCCCTCTAGTTTGGTATCTGTATGTTCTGGGTTTGTTTTTTAATTAAGTATTGCTTTTTTTCCATCTTCAGATTGGGGAAGGAATCTCAATTGTTGTTTCTACTTAAGTTCCAAACAGTGGTTCAGAGAACCAGTAACTGACTAGTGGCGCCTTTTTTTGAGCAATTGCAGGGGGCTTTGCTTATGTTATGTTTGGGACTTGCTTGTTTCATATCTTTGTCCTGGTGCATAACCCAAAAGTGCTTTACCTTCAGAGCACAAGCACATAGCTTGACGTTACACTTGAGGATTTTATGCAGTGATTTGTCTGTCTGGAACAGAGGTGGTGCTAGTGCAGCTTTACACTACCACCACAGAGGGCGCATCCCTTAGTGAGATACCAAGTGAGGCTTGAAAGAGAATTGCTGAGATGTATTTAGACTCTCTCTCCTATCAGTCTGAGTTCAGTAATTACTTCCTCTACACCATAAATGTCTCTACTAGACCCCATTCCTACTCTAATGCTTAAAGAAGTCCTATCATTAACTAGTCCTTCAATCTCAATATCTATCTTTAAAGAGCTACACAACACAAGCTTTTAAGATGCTGGTTATTTACTTTTAGGGATATTCAATCTGCTGGATTGTCTCAGATTTGCATAAACAAATTTATGATAGAAAATTTGAACATATACAGCAAGCGATGTACATGATATCAAAATGTTTTCAAGATATATATTTTGTAAAAATGTTACATTATCCCACTTTCAGTCCTTTATTTTGAATATCTCAAAGATTATTAAAGCCTGAAATTTCCCCTGGTCTTTCTGACCATCAAAATTAACCAGGATCTGTAATTTGTGTGTAAATTGGGATCATTAATTAGAAAAAATGTGTTGGCTAGTTAAAATATGAAAACTATATAAAAGTATGCAGACTGGAGGTGGTCGTGCAGGAAATGTTCTGTATTGATCAATACCCAACTTTGCCAAAAGTCATTTTAAAACATCTAACTGAACTTATGCAGAGAAACTGTTTATTTCTGTTACCTCTCTGAGGTCATCGCAGTACAGCACTAGCAAATGTTATTGATGACCTTTTCATGGCCTCTCCCAGTAGACTAATTTCTGTGCTTGACTGTTAGAATGTAAGTGCAGCATTCAATACCGCTGACCACAAGATTTTACTGCACAGTAAGTTCATCCATTTACTACTTCGAGGCTGGACTACTGTGATTTACTGTTGTCATGTTGCTTGAAAAGCCTTGAGTTGCTGCAGCAATAGCACTGATAGGGATTACTGTGTATCTTCCTTATTCACTGGCTTTTCACTCTTGACTGGCTACGTGTTAAATCCAGAACTGAATTTAATATCTTTCTGCTTACATACAGTGTCTTGAGTAATCAGGTCCCATCATATCTTAAAGCTCTAATAGTACCACATTGCTCTGATAGACCTCTTCACTCTCAAACGGATCGCTCACTTATGGTTCCTAGAGTTTCTAAAAGTTGGATGGTAGACAGAGCCTTCATCCTACAGCCCCTCCTTCTGTGGGAGACAGACACCCTATCTACTATAAAGCATGTAGTTTGTTCAGGGTCACCTGATCCAGCCCTGTCTGTTAGTTATGTTGCAATAGCCATAGACTGTTGGGGCGTTCCTAGAAACACTGGCTCTCTGTCACATGTGTCTTTTGTCTTGTTTACCTCTGTTCTCTTCTCTTTCCCCTCATCCCCATGACATTTACCCCATAGTCTCATCAGACTGCCTCTCCCTGAGTCAGGTTCTGCCAGAGGTTTCTTCCTGTTAAAAAGGGGCTTTTCCTTCCCAGTGTCACCAAGTCCTTGTTTACAGTGGCTCATCTGATTGTTGTGGTTTTTTCTCTGCTATTTTAGGATCTTTACCCGACAATATAAAGGACCTTGAGGTTGCAGTTGTTGTCATGTGGCACTATACAAATAAAACTCAATGATTCAATGTACTATTTTTTAATGACGGAGCAACAACTGAATGGTAAATAAATTCCAGACAAACAAAAAAATGCAGCACCACATATAAAAAGCATTTTGCATATTACCCTGAAAACCAATCTTTGTATGCTGTTGTAAAAACAATAAAAATATTTTTTAAAAAAACATTTCTACCGTTATTAAGCCATCCTTCTCAAATGCACTTGAGGTAACCATAGGTCAGTACGTGACGCTCTTGTATTACAAGCTCACGGTTGCTTTGGCTTCAAGTCTCATTTTGTCTTCTACTGATGCTCTGACAAAATGCACCAATGTGTTGACACCATGTAAAGCCAAATATGTGGAACACTTGTTTCCTTTGCTGTCAAGTGCATGTGACACAAATGCTCTAGATACAAGCTGCTGACATATCAGCAACATTCATTTTAAGACGTTTCAGACTGAAGCCCGTATGTAAACCCACAGTACTGAGTGACACAATAAATAAAACGTGTTTGCTTAAACATATGCTGATATACGACCTGACCTGCTCTCTCGCTGAAACAGGAAACAAACAAGTGATGATGGCGGGACAGGAGAACTGCTTCTGGGGTTGACTGAGTGGACACATGTCCTTCAGGCTGTAGATGAACACCTCCTGTTCCTGTCACAGAAACATGAAATTAAAGAATGAGTTTTTTTATTTTTGGATTTAGAGACAACTACGTTGTCCCCGAGCTGTGGCAACAGTGGAGGGCAGCCAATGTAGGATTTGATATTGTTCTCCTACCCTGCGAAACTAATACTTTCCCTCCAACACTGGTTTGACACTCAATAAAAGACTGCAGCAGTCTCACTGTCCTCGTGTCCATAAACAGGTTTTCATGAAATCCTCTTTTCACATTAAAAAAAATGACAAAAGCAGGTAAATTCTGAAGCTACCCAGATGTAAAAGTAAGTAAGAAAAATAACATTGCATGATTGTTTGACTGCTGTTCATAGACGAAAAAGTTATCAGTAAATAAATGAGTCGCCAAATGTCTGCATTTAAAAAGCAGCTGTGTCACGTTGAATTTCAGGATGTGTACCTCAGTTGCCATCCACAGAGTGTTCCCCATCTTCATGTGACAGCTAATCCTGCTACCTGGACAGGCCATCCTCTTCACCTCCACCTGACCCTTGTTAACATTCACCACACTGTAGTTCCTGCAGAATACACAGTTCTTTGCTGAAAACATTTAGAACCACTGAGTTGGAAGTTAAAACAAAATAAGCAATATTGTGTATAGTAATGTTTTTATACCGTGATGAGTAGAGGCACTTTTTGGAAGACGATGTCACAGGGTTAGTTAATTAAAGCTAAATATCATTTATCACGTTTAGTACATGTGTGATGGATAACTTGAGAAACTGGCATGAAGCATTACAAAAATGTTTTTTACTATTGTTTATTAATGTTTTATAAATATAATTTTAGTTTATTACAGTTTAAATACTCTATATTATATTGTTTATATTTTTAATTTCTCACCAATAAGCAATTTCACAATTTTAGCATTAATATATCTTAAACAAAAAGTTGCAACCAGTGCTGCTGGTGTGTTTGCACTGTTCCCTGGGACGTTTCTTCTGACCACTTGCACATACACTATGCTGCCAGAAGTATTTGCTCGTCTGCATCCACATGCACATGAACCATTCCTAATCTATGAGGTTTAATATGATGTCCCCCAACCATGTGCGGCGATAACAGCGTCAGCTCTTCTGGCAAGGCTTTCCAAAAGGTTTAGGAGTGTGTTTATGGGAATGTTTGACCATTCATCCATTTGTGACACTGATGCTGGATAAGAAGGCTTGGCTTGCAGACTCTGCTGATTCATTCCAAAGGTGTTCTGTCGGGTTGCGATCAGGACTCTGTGCAGGCCAGTCAAGTTGTTCCACACCAAATTCGGTCATCCATGTCTATATGAACCTTACTTTGATGTACTACTTTGCGATCACGTTGGAACAGGAAGGGGCCATCGTCAAACTGTTCCATGAAAATGAAATTGTCTTGGTATGCTGAAGCATTAGGGGATCTGCAGTTTATTGGCAGCTTGCAACCAGGTACACTCTTTCCTCAGGAGCTGGTTAACCAGTTAGTGTGAGTGGCCAAACAAAAGCAAGACAAGAATATGCGAGTTAAATGGCACTGGAAGAGTTGGGGAGGTAACATGGTCTTGACACAGAAAAGGAGTTAAAAGAGGGAAAAGTGTAAAGGAGTCAGCAGCAATTAACAGTATTTGTTTAAAAGCAAGGAAGCAGCTTTTAAACACAGATCAACCTGCAGTCCTGCTGCCACAAACAGCTAGAGCCATTGTGGCCATTATGTCATGCATCTGGGAGCTTTTTCAGTCAGCTGTGTTAAATATGTTGTGTTAAATGTAGTTAGCGCCGTACATTTTTGGACAATAAAAGAGTTCTTTGTACACAACAACAGTAAATTTTAAATCAAACCAGAAATGTGTAATTGGCGCGCAGATTTTCAGCTTTATTTTTAAGTAAAACATTTAACTTCATTTGTAGAGGCTCTAAAGTAACTGGACAATAGGCTAATAATCCATTTCATGGTTTGATGAGCTGTTATTTCATGACAGACTGCAGAATTGAACTTCCAGTTGGTAGTTCACTGGAACTTGCAAAATGATGTCCAAAGAAATGCTGATGTAAGTGAAAAAGACTGTCATTGGGGAGAAAACCAAATAAACCCCATCAGAGAGACAGAAAAAACTTTTGCAGGGGTCAAATCAAGTAAATAATCAAGTCAATCCTAAATAAACAGGAATGCAAAACCAGCTCAACAACACTAAAAGACCTGAACTACAGAAGACAACTAAAACATGGAGGTAGGTGTATTGTGGGGCTCATTATTGTGTATAAGAGGCAAATAAATCACAGTACAAAGAGAAATGGTCACACAAACCTGTCCTCCTTCTCGTCATTCCAGAACACAGCACTATATCCTTGGAGCTGGGACAGGAAGAGCTGAGAGTTGACGTCACAGGGCAATACATACCTGAGGCAGGCGAAGCTAGGCTCCTTCATCTGCCTCACACAATGCATTGCCACTGGCCTCTGCAGCACAAATGCAGAGACAGGCAGTTCAGCTCAAAGTCATTCACAGAACAATGACTTTCATTAAAATTTGTTATGTTTTATGTTTTTTTATCCTTAAAATATGGCTGTGACTACACATACATTGGCAGTTGTGATTGAAAAAATAAATGTTGAAGATATATATGCATTTGTGGTGCTCATTATTCATCCATCCATCTCCACTTATCCTTTTCCGGGTGATGGGGAGCAGCTGGAGCCTATCCCAGCTGTCTTAGGCCCAGAGGCAGGGCACACCCTGGACAGTCTGTCGCAGGGCCAACTCATACACAGAGAAAACTGTTCACACTCACATAATGGAGTCGCTCTATAATGCATATTTTGACATTATAGTCAAAGCATTTATTGGGATTGATTGTTTTATCATTTGCATTCTATGCTATCCATATATCCATGGAAATATTTCATTTTCAGTTAAGAAATATTTGAGCATTATTGTTACACTTGCCACTATGACCATGATCTAGAAATCTTAGACCATGCTTGTTCAGTCCTTTTTGGCTTTTTAACTTTCCTGCACTTTTGAAAATATGGGAAAGTGAAAATGGACCGGGTGAGTTGGAGCAGTTGTTCTTATCTTAAGATTAAGATAAGCTGTTTAATCAGATTCTTGGTGTTACCTCCTTTGACAGTATCACAGTATCAGCTTAAAGCACTTGTTGCTGCTGAGTTTGCATATTTTGCTGTGAAGTACAGCCAGACTTTTGACCGCTTCGCCTTGGACATTTTTAATCTGTAGCTCTGCTCTAACAGAACGTACGTACCTGGCCCCGCCTACTATCCTCGGAAACGTAAAATGATTGGCTAGAAGTGTATCACAGCTCAGGAAAAAAAAGCACCGAAATAAAGCACCGAAATGTGCGCTGCTTTTCGGTCTGGTTACTACCGTTTATGTCAGAACACCGGTACCCATCCCTACTGGGCAGTATAGGAAAAACATCTTGTTTTCTACATGTTCCCGAGAGACACGACGTGATTTTATTTTAGAATTTAGCAGTAAAAGGAGAACCAATTGTTTGCATGTAACCCCTCTTTAGACCTGCAACTAGTCCAGAATGCTGCGGCACGGTTTTTATCTGGTAAAAGAAATTTAAGCACATTACTCCGGTCCTGGCCTCCCTGCACTGGCTTCCAGTTGAATTTAGGATTCATTTTAAAGTTCTTTTATTGGTTTTTAAATCCTTAAATGGTCTGGCACCTGCGTATCTGATTTGCTGGAGCCCTATGTCCCCACTCGTTCGCTCCGGTCAGCTGAGCAGCTGTGGCTCTCAGTCCCCAAATCAGGGCTGAAACTGAGGAGACTGAGCGTTCTCTATCGTGGGTCCTGAGCTTTGCAATAATCTTCCTCTTCACATTAGGCGATCGACATCAGGGCTGGTTTTTAAATCCAGATTGAAAACACATTTTTATTCACTGGCTTTTGATTGAGTGGTTGACTATTTTATTGTTTTCGCTATGTTTATTATTTTATCGTATTTATTATTCTTATGGTATCTATTATGTTTCTATTGTTCAGCACTTTGGTCGGCTTTGTGTGTTTTTAAAGTGCTATATAAATAAACGATGATGATTATGATGATAATTCTTATAACTTCACATTTGGAAGAAATTCTAAGTCTCTAGCTCAACCTACTTTGACACAAGTAATAAAGTGTAGTACACTTTCCTTACATCACACAAAAATTTGCTCGTGTCGGCCAAAAACAGCTCACCTTCTCAGGTTTAGTGTCCCAGCATTCAGTCATCAGGTTGTGCAGGCAGCAGAACTGAACCTCTTGTGGACTACCCAGCACTGGCCGAATACCTTTTGAGAGCTTCTTTGCTATCTCAAGCTGGTGGTGTCCCAGCGCTGGCCTCCGCCCAGACAGGAGCTCATACATCACCATGCCATAGGAGAACATGTCCACCTTTAAGAGTTGTTCCCAAAAAAGGAGCATTAAGGTCAGTTGATAAGGGTCAAGTGTCAGAGTTGCATCTGAGGAGGTTATTAAGATAAGATAACTCTTTATTGTCATTGCACAGTCATACATAGTACAGTAGTACAATTAAGACCTCCTGATGAATTTGTAAATAAAACTTTAATAAAGAAAACTTTAAATTTCATTTGGAGTGAAAAGAAGTTATGAAAGTAAAACCAACCATTTAGATGAAAGCTACCCAGTCAGTCTCTGAATGTTCATTTCTTGGATAAGAACTCATGACCACAGCCCATTTATGAATGTGCATATGCTCTATTTGGGTTAAAATCATGTTATTCTTAGAGCAATTCAGCAAGCAGACCAGCAGGCGTTGGTCTGATGAAGACCTGGAGTCGTGGCCTGTTGTTCTGCTTGCTGAATTGTTCCAAGAATTTATTCTTGGAAGAAGAAATTGACATAATTTAATTTATTGTTTTTTTTTTATTTCTATTTCTTCTAATTCTCTACTTTTATTTTTTTTTTCATCTTAAAGTGCTTTTAAATAAAGGCGGTATGACAGGATTTATCCCAGAATTTATACTTCTAGGATAAATCCTAGAATTTCTCTCTTCTTCCTCAGAAGACTTAGAGACTTCCATCTGCCACTGAAGGTGCTCAAGAACTTCTACTCCTGCACCATCGAGAGCGTCCTGACGTCAAACATCTGCACCTGGTTTGGGAACAGCACCAAGCAGGACAGACGAGATCTGCAAAGGGTGGTGCGCTCGGCAGAACGCATCATTCAATCAGAGCTCCCTGACCTGCTGTCCATCTACACCAAGCGGTGCAAGTCCAAAGCTAGGAAGATTATGATGGACCTCTCCCATCCCAACAATGGACTCTTCTCACTGTTGAGGTCTGGGAAGCGCTTCCGCTCCCTTAAGGCCAAAACAGAGAGAATGAGGAGGAGCTTCTTCCCCCAGGCTATTCGGGGCCTGAACCAGGTGTAGGACTGGACTCTCCCACACATCACATCACCACACGCACTCTGGTTTTTCGTCATGCACACTTCCTATAATTTATGATCTCTTTCTGCTATTTGCACATTTTTTTTACTGTAAATTTAAATCTGTAAATTTTGTATAACCTGTAAATTGTAAATACTGTAAAACCACTGTCAATTCAATTCAATTCAATAAAACTTTATTGATCCTGAAGGTTGACCCCGAAGGAAATTGGGTCTTTCTTTTTTCTCTCTCCATTCAATAAGTGAAATTAATTGGATAAGCATTAATAAGTTTTTAAAATTTTAGATTTTTGTTTTAACAATATAAAATAGCTCTATAAAGCAACACTTCGACCTTCAAATTAATCTACTGACCTTGAACGAGAGGTCAAAGGTTAAATATATCACAATATTTTAATTCTAAATAAAGTACTTTTTATATGTTGATAATAAACACCACACTTTTAAGAATTATAGTTTCTAAGTTAAAGACCTTGATAAGCCAAATTTGGATGGATTGTTGACGTGAGCCATCATGTTTACAGACACAGTGACACTGAAACGCTACTAAAAGCATAGCCTCCGTGCCAGAGGTAAATAAACATAATCAAATACTGAATTTAATGCCGCAGAGCACAGAAAAGATATTTGACTGAATTAGCACTCTTTGGAAGAGTGCGGAGCAAAGACAGAGGGTTACACATATTTTCGCCTGGTTTCTGAAGTGTTCAGGGATCAGTAAATGAGGCCTGGTAAAGCTTTTCATTTTATTTTTTGATTTTATTAGAAAGTTATTCAGACTTTCTTGTTCTGTTCTCCCTAATTTCACCATTTGACGTATTATTTTTTATATCTTTGTAAAAACGGAGTATCTGTCTTTTTCCCTTAACAAGCTGCAGTCTGATTGGTGGTTATGGTCCCAGCACAGCGCTTGAGGTTTGTTTCCAACCTCTTTGTGATTAGACTACATTTTCCCAGGTCCTCTTACTGTGCCATAGCTGGGATCCATTTATGGATATTTTCTCCATGGCAGTTCTCATCTCATAGACATGATCCTTAGGAGTCTGGCCATCATCCATTTGCACTACATTGCAGTACCAGCATATGTGTCTAAATACTCCTGTTGGTTCCAGGATACACCACTTTGCAGTTATTTATTTGTAAACATGTTTGGAGTCATGTCTGATTTTGTTCCACTTCTCACGTGTGCACCACTTTGTGTTGGTCTTTCACCTGGAATTCCAATAACATCGATTCATGTTTGTGGCTGTAATGTGACAAAATGTGGGAAAGTTCAAGGGGGCCAAAAACTTGCCAATGCAAGCCAATAGAGATGTTGGAATACACACTGCTATTCTAGGTAATCTCTCTTTGCTAGCAATTTGAGCCTGTTCCTCAGGGGCTCATTTATCAAGTTAGCCTCTTCAGATTGACAATATCCTGTGTCAGCGTGTCTATTACTTAGATCTGATACACCAGAACTAACCTAATCATTACATAACACCATTTTTGCTTTGAGATTTCTGTGCTTTGGTTTTTGTAAAATAAATAAATTAATTAACTTGTAAATGGCAGGGCTGATAGAAAGCAGGAATTCCTGCTTTCTTTTTAGTTGGTAAAATAAATGTTGAACAGATCACCAATTGTCTAAGGAAATAAAGTACTGAAGATGGTCTTAACATGAAATTCTCACTAGATGTCGATAACAACCCATCCAATCTACACATGCAAAGAACCATGCATGTCCATAAATTATGTTTAATAATGAGAAATGACACAGGGCTTACTGAAATGTATTTAATACTTTGTACAAAAGCCTTTATTGGTGATGACAGCTTCAAGATGCCTCCTGTATGAATCTAATTTTCTCTCTGAAACCAAATGGGAGTTTTGTTGGCTCTGTGTTTTGCTGAGAAGTCCGCTCTTGTTTCATCTTCATTATCCTGGTAGATTTTTATCAAGAGTGTCTTAGTACATTTTTCAGGCCATCCTTCCTTCAGTTATATGAAGTGAGCCAGTGGTGTATGCTGAAAAATAGCCCGACACCATCACGTTTCCACCTCCAAACTTTACTATCGGTATGTTTTTTAGGGTGATATACAGAGCCTTGTGACCAGTGTTCCCTCTAAGCTGCGCGCGTGCGCAATTGTGCACTGCTGGCACGTCTCTGCACACAGAAAATCTGTGTTGCGCACAAAAAAAATGGGACAGGCAAAAAAAATAAAAAATCTAACCTGAACTGAAATTAAAATTAATACTTTAACAATTTTGTTTTGCAGTGTTAGTCAGTCAGTGACTGGCTGCTCCCGCATGGGATTAGAACGATGCCACCTTATCCTATAGTCCAGCCAATGATGCGATTCACATTCGCATATACGCAGCTAACAATTGATGGGAAAAGTTTGGACTATACCACAATTTAAAAACTATAAGATATAACAGTTTTTAAATTGTGTTGATCGGCTGCGTAAAACCAGAGTTCTGATAAAAAATATCTGCAGTGTTTGTTTTTTCCTGAATACTGTCGTTGTTTATATTTACTGCAGGAAGAAACGGTAAAAACACTCGAAAGCACTCTCCGCCCAGTGTTACCAGCTCCTCAGTATTGGCTGTCCTAAAAGTCGCTAAATGACGTCATCGCCTAATTGGTCATGCTAATGTAAGTGTAACCTACGTTGTTGGAGAGAGAAATAACATCGTGGAAGAGACAAAGTCAGTAAAAAACCTCCTAAATGCATTTAGAGTTTATTTAGAACTAATTTTTTTTGAAGCAGTAATTATATAACTATTTGCCCAATATTGGTCATTATATACTGTATTTTGCTAACAGAGAGTTAAAATAAATTAATAAATAAAGTTTTGTTTTCAAAATTGGAGTTCAAGTTATTTTTCCTTCCAATAGTGTTAACATACCACACAGGTCATGAACAAGACTTTTTAACATTTTCGTTGTAAGTGGGCTAAAGCAGTTAATTAAAAGTCGTCTAACATAAATGTAAATGCTGTAACTTGATTATTTTAATAAACAAGTAACTTGGATGCTGGCGTGACCACAGTGCACACGTCTGCTGTTGCTCACAGTGGTCCAAGGGACGCTCAGTTCGTGTGTTCAGACACATGAAACATTAGAGCTTGTGACCTACAAACATGGTGTGTATCACGGTATCCAAAGAGTTCAATTTTATTTTGATCTGACCAGAGTATTTCTCCCAGTCACTGACTTGTCTAAATGTTGTTACTGATCTGGTTACAGTTTCATGTCAATAACACCTTTAGAATTATATTTACTTGGAAAAGTAGTGATGCATTCGATACACATTTTACCTCCTGTCTGTTAATAACTTCTAACATTTTTTCTCTTCTTCGGTAGCTAGTTAGTCTCACCACGTTTGTTGTAGATAGACCGTTCCTACCTCGTAACAACCAGCTCAAATGTTTTCAATTCAGCAGTAATTAAGCATTTCTTACCATTCCTGAAATATTTGGCATTTTCGGGTGATGAAGTGCCATTTCATATGAATAGAGAGCATGCTCCTATCTCACCCCTGTAATGTTGGAGGTCACAAGTTTAAGCAATTCTATTAGGTACAGTGTAGCTGGTATCACAGGTACAGTACACTTGTGGCCTATTAATATAGTTGCTCATGTGTTTTTGAGCCATCTCACTTTAACAGGTTACTCCAACGTTTTAAATGCACCATGGGCAAGTTACAGAGTCCACCAATAGCAACAAACCTTCCACAATTTATTTAGAAATTGCACCGTCTAGTTAATTTATGCTTATAAAAATAATTCAAAAGTTTTATTAAGTTATACAGACTGTATAACTAATCTGGAGTTTAGTTTGGCCGTCTCCAGTTTGACTTTTTAAAAATCAAGGTCTTTTTGATTTGAAATTTGAAAATCCTGGGTTATTTTCGGAAAAGTTGAAATCTCGCCTCTCATATTGTTGTCAGACGATTACCACTTGGATTTGAAGCATTTCAACTAATGTTTTCCTTGTTAACTCTCCACTTGGTTTTTTTCTACTTGCAAAGCCTGCTCAAACATGATTGGTCAGTGCTATGTATAGGTGCTGTGTACAGGTCATACACGTATATGTGGAAATTCAGGATATCAACATATCTGTTTATATAGAGATGATATGTTTATTCTCATCATTTTAAAAAAATGGTTTAAAAAAACAAAACATAAAACAAAACCACACAAAAGTCCAAAAAAGTGTTACAAACTTTTCTAATGTGGGTTAAAGCAGATACCGTACCTTCTCATCATACACGATGCCTGGTCGGATCTCAGGAGCCTGGTAGCCCGGTGTGCCTTCAACTCCCAAAGCCCCCTCATGGAAGGATTGTCGAGAGATCCCATAGTCAGACAGTTTAACATTGACCGTGTCCTGCACCTGGAAGAAGTTATCAGTGAATTAAAAAGCCAAATGAAATGACAGAAACAGGCTTTCTCTTTTTGTTTTGGTTTTTAACATGAAATTACTGTTTTGCTTTCTATTTACAGTATTTTTAATAAAGGGAGAGCAAATAAATTAGCTCAGAACTTTCACGTTCAAAAACAGGTGTATCAAAAAGAATTGTCTGATTTCAAAATGCTACATATTTCTAAAGAAATGGACATAGAAGCTTGCAGTTAAAATTTTAAAATACATGGCTGAATATAAAGCTTTACAATACACACAATGTTGACGGGCTCATGACATACGCTGTCCTACACCAGCTGTTGTTATAAAACCGACCCACAACCATGTGAAGCTCACTAATCCCTCTTTCTAACAGTCCGTGTTACGATCGTTACCTGTGAATACTTGCAGAATTACAGCTTGTTGAAACTGGCTGATTGGCTAATTCAATCTCGTGGATCTGCGGCTTCCCACCCTCATTATTAAGTAAATTTCATGATGCATGCACAGACGCACACGCACCACAAGAAGTTGTTGATTTGTGTGTCGGCGCATTTTCACGTTTTAGTGTTGCAGGTGTGGAATGTTTTAGGCTGTGTTCTTACAGGTGCAGCAGTTGGTGATATGTCGTACTTTTACATTTTTACGCTACCCTTTTATTGTGTTTTCGCCATCCTTCCTTTTTTCTTTTTCTCCTGCCTGTCAGCTTAGACATTGTTACACAACACATATAATGTAATAGCTGAAATAACACTAAAAGAAATGAATACATACACAGAAACACAGAAACAAGAGGAGCCTTTATAGAATTTATAGAGCTCATCTTAATTCTGGTTTTTAAAAAATTATAAAAAGAAAGAAATGACTTGGATGAATCTTTTTGATACACCCTGTAAATTAGAATGCTTAAAAAACACAACATTTTGCAGACCTCCAGAGACCACACCAGAATGTTATCAGATTTGAGGTCACAGAAGATGATGCTCTTTCTGTGAAGGTATCCCAGTCCTGCTGCAATCTGATAGGCTACTTTGAAGGTTAGCATGTGTCCAAGCGGCATGTACTTGAAGCCTAGAAAGACAAGACATATTTTCATATCTCAGTAATATCGAGCAAGTTTTAAAATCAACTTCAAATGGCAAATCAGAAGGTGCAGATCACTGCGTACTTTTGCCTTTGTGCTTTTCCTCCAACACTGTGTTGAGGCTACCCAAGGGGGCTAACTGTAGGGCGAAGCAGAGTGGATGAATGCTGATGCCCACTAGCGAGACAATGCAGGGATGCTGGAGAGAGTGCAATGTACTGGATTCCTGGCGAAACTCAGCAAAACTCCGATAGGCATTTGCAGACTGGAGGTGTTTCACCATGGTGTCTAAGACAATGAAGACAGAAAGACAAGGGACCATCAAAGTGAATTGATTTACATTTACTGGCAATTTACATTTTGTCAAATGACTAAATAGTACGGTAAAATAGAGAAAGCCAATATCCAGCTGAAAGCATTGAGGGTGAGAGCAGCTGATCGTGGCTAGCAAGGAAACCTGGTCCCTCCGTGGCCGATTACCCAGACACGTGATGTCCTACTACGAGATGTGAATCCCTACCATCCCGACCATCACTGAAACCAACCAGCTGATCTACACCATGGTAGATCACGGTAGTGATAGCTGAAATGCTTGGCTCCACCAAGAGCAGTACCCTCCATGGAGAAAGAGATTAGGCACAGAGGGAGACCAACTATTGGAGCTGCAGAAATGCCTGATGAGGAAACTGATGCCTAAGATATACAGCAAGGTGCCTAATCCTGAGGCATTGGAAACTGCCAAGCAAATACTTACAGCCATTTGAAGAAACAGAAGCCAGGAGAACAAATCAGAGTTTTCTTCACTAGTTCCTGCTCGTAGTGGCAGGGGAACAAGGTATGAACAACCCCACCAAGGCTGGAGGGAAAAAAGCAATGCTGGAAAAGCATATGGGAGACCTGAACAGGATTCAGTACCCATCAGAGTAGCAGACATCCAGGAAAGAGTCTCAAGCATGAATGGCAGGACAGCACCACAGCCTGACATGAGTCACACCTACTGGCTAAAGAAGTTAACTGTACTCCATGAGCGTCTGGCAGTACAAATGAACCAGCTGCTAATGGATGAGACACATCTAGAACACCTAACTGAAGGCTGGACAGTTTCTTCTTCCCCAAGGATCCCCAAAAGGGACTGGTACCATCTAATTACTGGAAAATAACCTGCCTCAGCACAACATGAAAACTCCTGTTAGACATCATAAGGGTTAAGATGAACAAGCATGGTTTAAAACATGAACAGGGCCCAGAAGAAAATTGGCATAAAGACCAGAGGGGGAAATGCCAGCTACTGGCAGATAGAGCAGTCATTTTCAATGGGACAGCCATGAGTGAATGAAAGAAAGCCTATAACTCAGTGCCTCACACATGGATCCTGGAATGCTAAGAACTGTACAAGATCAACAGAATCGTAAGAGCCTTCATCAAGAACTCAGTGGGGACGTGGCAAACAACACTGTGCACTAGAGCAAGATTTTCCAAAAACATGGCATATCCCCAGTGTTATTCTACATAGGCCTGAAGCCCCTCAGCGACAAAGCGAGACTGAAAGACAGAACAGAGGCACTAATCATGGCAACACAGGAAAGAGCTCTAAGCACAAGAGCAACACTGGGATCTACCACAGTGACAGATACAGTTGTACCAAGTGGTAGCAACATCAGAAAGATGGAGTACGAGAAGCGTAAGATATACCATCCACGTATACGTACACATTTATACATGTACACTAAACTACGCCAGCTTCAAGGGCCTGTTGTATATAGCCAGTTACTAGAGATAGGTTGATCATATTTAAATGGTAAATGAAACAGCTGCTCTGTACAGAAGGCAGACAGGTGGCAAACATGATCAATCTCTGAGTTTTTTTGAATTAGCATAACTCAAAGCGACTCAACTATAGGGATGGGTACCGGTAAACGGTGGTAACCAGACCGAAAAGCAGCGCACATTTCGGTGCTTTTTTTTCCTGAGCTGTGATACACTTTAGATTCTAGCCAATCATTTTACCTTTCCGAGGATAGTAGGCGGGGCCAGGTACGTACGTTCT